ACATACATATACATATATACACACATACATACATACATACATACATACATACATACACACATACATACATACATACATACATACATACATACATACACCTAGTATTACAAGCCAGTGCATGCATAGACATGCACACATGCATGGCATACATACATACCATGCAATGTAGATTACGGACCCTGAAAACTGAAGCCAAAATCCTCAGAAGCTCGAGGACAATAAGTGCAGACTTCATACCTGCAGGTGGCTCTTCCACTGCAGTCGTACCACCAGAGGACCGCCGGGCTGCAAGCTGAGCTTGAAGGGCTTGGATCTTCGCCTTGGCAGCCTCAGTGGTGACGTGTTGGGGCTAGTGTAGTTGTGGGATATTATGGGTGACTGGTTACTTGCATCAACTGCTGACGAAACACCGCAATGCGAGCTTTCACACCAGTCTTCTCTGCTTGCTCAGCCATCGAATTGCGATCAAGCAAAGCAATCCCTTCTAATAAGGAACTACAGGACCCTCGCCGGGATGTCATGGGCCCTCAAGTCTACTCCTGTACGTGCTCAAGCAGACACAGGCAAAACAATCAGGCAACAAGTCGCATTGGCCATGCACCAGGAAATATTATTGCTTGCACAGCAACACAATCCATCTTTGGCCAGGATTCCAAGGCACTGGTCGATCTTCGGCTTCGACGAGGCCAGCTATCGAATTTGCAGCCGATTTTTCGGAAATCCAGCCGAGGGCGAATTAGGGTTTGATACGGATTCTGGGTTTGCGGCCGGTTGCGGTTATTTGCGGCCGGGTTGCGCTTATTTGCGGCCGCTCTGCGCCCAAATCCGGCCGAGCATTTTTTACTTAGGGCACCTGAAACCACAAATCCGAAAAGAGTCCGGTCTCTTTTGCTTGGAGCAGCAGAAACCTGTTCTATGTTCCCGGGGAGCCAGCAAAAGCCTTCTAAATGGTCTGTTTAGGTGGGGCCTTGCTTCCAGGGATCCCGCCTGAGCCTTTAAAGTAGCCTTTGCCAGGGGCCCCAAATCCAGAGCTGGGCGAGGCCTTCTGCTGAGCCTGGGTTGCGGGCTGGGTCCACAAGTGCAGCTAAACAGCTTAAGTAGTCTTTGCAGGGGCCCTGGTCCAAAGTGTTCCCCTGGAACCCGTCTAGTCAAGCTTGTCGGCTCCCGGATCCGAGTCTAAACTAAACTCCTTTAAAGCCTGGCACGTAGGGCTGGTCCTCGAATTAAGGTTTCCCATGGGCCCGGATCCAAGCCTAAACTGAAGCATAGGCTTAATTTGTTTGGGTTTGTGGGAGGCCGGTTCTATATATATATATTATATATATATATATATATTATATATATATATAGATATTTTACATTTATATGGATTACTGCGTATATATATATATAATATACATATATATATATATATCATATGTATATATATATATATATATGTATATATATATATACATATATATATATATATCTTTGCCTATTGCTTCGATATATAGGATAGGTTTGTGGGGCATAGTATATGCTTAGCCATGAAGTTGGGATGCCCTAGGTTTGAGTCAGATCGAAGCTTTTACTTTGGCTTTGTTGGGGCACAGACTTATAAGGGTTTCGGGTTTAGGGTTTAGGGCTTTAGGGCTTTAGGGTTGTAGGGTTTAGGGATTCGGCTGTGGGGATGTAGCATCTGATGAAGTCTCGACTGCAGCCCTTGCATAGGCTTTTGGGGCGGATTGGATCCAAAGCCTAGGTTATACATCCTTCGAAGAATTGGGATTGGCTGTGAAGCCACGGCTGCTACGTGGAACTCGATGCCTGCTCACCCAGGGCGTTCACTTCATCTCGCAGCTCCGGGGAACCACAAGCCTCGGGTATAGAGGGTGGCTTTGCTTGCACAGCTGCTATATATGACAACATGGAAACGTACGATGTTCAGAGCGAAGGCACAGCAGCTAGGACTTCCTGCCGGAAGTTTGTCATCGAAAGCAACCAGCTGTCTGGGATCCTGTGTTAGAAGAGAACTATATAGGAAGAGAGGCTCGGACTACACATGCTAGTTTGCTCTGATCAAACCAAGAAACTCCACATTCTTGCAGCTGAAAAGATATAGAAAGGATTCATGAATCCGACCATCCAGCCACAAATCCCCGGTCGGGAGATCATCGAACAGCTTCCGAAAGTCGACGGGGCGGCGACCACGTAGGTCGCCCCGCGTGTCGAAGGGCATCGCTCGCCAATGCTCATAGGCTTTCAAGAGGTTCTCACCGAACACGGTCGTGTAGACACTTAGCGATAGCTAGGATGGGGTTTGAGGGTTTCGGCTCAAGGTTCAGGTCCTGGCCACTAGGGTTCCTCGAGGTTTTGGGTGTGTAGGATATCTGGGGTCTGGGATACTAGGGTTTTTAAATTTGAGGTTTTGGGTGTCTAGGGTATCTGGGGTCTAGGATAGTATAGGGTTTTGAAATTTGAGGTTTTGGGTGTGCAGGGTATTTGGGGTCTAGGATGTTGGCTTTCACAGGCTTTGTTTGGGGTACTACGACTTGAACTCCCATATGATCTCCCTCGTAGCACGAACAACATGACCTGTCTCTAGCTCGCTATTGAGGCCTCTCCCTCTCATATCTCTCTCTCTCTCTCTTTCTTTCTCTCTCTCTCTCTCTCTCTCTCTCTGTACATGTGCATGCACACATAAATATATTATATATTACATATATGTACATATATATATATAGTTTAGGGTTTAGGGTTTAATTAGGGCTTAGGGTTTAGGGTTTAGGATTATGTGTGCATGATCATATTAAGTACAACAGACACACATGCCAGCCTATATCATGTGCCAGAATAGACATCCTCGATGGGCCCAGAGTAATCACACACCCCCACACACACAACTCTCCCTCCAATATCACAACCCGTGAAGACCCGAACCTTATAAGGTTGAAAGAAAACTCAACAGACCCCTCGGCTACACGGCCCCGAAGCCCCAAACCCCACAAGCACCAATAGGTCTCACTAACATTGTGCTAGGGGACAGGGCACCAAAGACATAAAGCACAAACCTAAACCCACGAAGCAAAGCATCACACCCAAAAACTCGTAAGTGTAGGCAACTGAAGCCAAGCTTATTCCTCGAAAATCAAAGGCCGGAACCAAGGCCCCAAAACCCCACCTGTTTCGAAGCGAACCACCCCTCCTTCTTTTCCATTACAGCCATTTATATAGAAACCAAGCCGGCTAGGGTTTTAGGACCTTTCTCACAACCCTCCCTTATGAACTGTCCGCATGCTAATGACCAGCCAGGTGCCCAGATTTCTTCAGCTCTCCCTTCTGGCCGGAGAACTTCATCTTCCCGTCCTTTCCCCGGTGCCTACCTGGGCCGAGGTTAGGAGGTAGTGCTGACTAGGGTTTAGAGTTATGCACGGGGTTTAGACTGTATTGGGGTTTCTGGCATTCAGATATGGTACGGACTGTCTTGAAGGTGCAGCGCTTTTCTTTCTCAGCTTTGGTGAGGCGACCAAGGTCTAGCTCAGCTATTGTAGCCATTGGCGACAGAACCAGGGTTCTTTTGGGGCATCCGGCGCCGTGCAGCATCATCCAGAAGGATTGCTTGTAGACCTTAGATTTCCACTACTCTAGCTACGGCTTTAATAGGCATCATAATAGCACTAGATCAGCTGAGAAGCTTTGACAACCTGGTTGCACATCCACTCCCATCTCCGGTGGGATGGCAGCAAACTATGAATGGGTTGCTCTACCACCCAAGTGCAATGTCGAGAAAGCATCAGGAGTAGGAGCAGCACAAGCCTTGGATGCCCATGATGGTATACATAGTTCTTTGGGATCTAAACCACTTGGACATAAATGCATGGGACGACCTGCTGACCAAGCAGTAGTTCGAAGACACCCAGGAATTGCCCATTCTCCCATACGGGTTTATGGTCGACCGCATGCTGCTGGCTCTTGCTGGCATACCCCAAGAGCTGCAATCAGGCCCGATGAGATTAAATCCATCGGGCACTTCGTTCATCACAACCCAGCAAGCGATCCTTGCATGACTTTACACAACACAGTGGGAATGAGGTCTGTTTAGAGTACCATATAGTTGCAGCCATCGTTCGTGAACCCGCTGTTCTTGAGGAAGTCCATAGGGTCTCCGTAGAGCTTGTCGAAGCTGGCCGTGGTGTAGCCCTTCTCGTGCCTGGGAGATATATATGTAGGTAATAATATATACACACACACAATATATATATATATATGTACATGCACTAGCAAATGAGACCACCACCACACTCCAGTAACTTTGCCCTCCCCTGCAAACAGCTCGAAGAACTCATAGCTTCCACCATAGGACAATGTTTTCATCCAGCGAAGCAAAAGTACCTTAAAAAGAGGCAGTTGGTCTGTTTGCAAGCAAGCAGCGAGAGAGAGAGAGAGAGATAGATATATTGTAGAGAGAGGCAGAGAGAGAAAAGACAGGAGACAGGCGAGAGAGATAGAGAGCCAGGGCTGAAGGCTTGCGGGGATTATGGGGTGGAGGGTTTATCGGATTCAGAGTTTATCGATCGGGTTCAGGGTTTCAAGGTTAGGGTTTGATCAGATTTTATAGGGTTCAGGGTTTGCATATGGGTGTAGGTTTAGGGGTTTGGGGTTTAGGGGTTTAGGGTTTAGGGGTTTATAGGGTTTAGGGTTTATAGGGTTGGTCTACGGTTTAGCTGGGGCCGGCTATTTGCAAGATGAGCGGCTGTTGCAATGAAGACCTGAGATTGCGATTGCATGGAGTTGCTTCGAGCTAGGTCAGCTAGATCGATATTGTGACATCAACCACATTTGTAGAGTGGCCTTTGGTGCTTGGAGTTGCACCAGATTTGCAACCAAAGAGTTCTCCATTGCACAGAAAGTTCGCGCTTTCAACGGCTGCATAGTCGGGCTCTAATCTAAAACACCATGAATTAGTGCAGTCTCGCATGACATCGCAGGCAATGCTTGCTAACAGCTTCGGATCTGCAGGGAAGTTGTCACTCAACCACAGTCATCAAACACAGTCATGACAGCAAGGCAGGCTGAAGCTGCAACGAGAAATCAGTGCAAACCTCACGTGCCTGCAAGGCAAGCACGAACTTGCCATTGCTGGACACGAGGAGCTCGTCGTGGAGGCATCCTGGCAAGCAGCTAGAGGTTTGGGTTTGTACTTTCGAATAAGATCGAGTCGCTATGGCAAGTGGCGAGTCTCTTCTTTTCATACCCACAGACAGAGAGCGATTCTAGTGCACGATGTTAACACCGGCTCGGAACTTGAAACCCCATGGTGCGAGCACCTTCCCCTCAGCAGACTTGGGGCAAGCTCAAAAGGCTTGCTCGGAAAGTTCCACTGGCAATACCCGTACGGATGAACTTGTTGCATCCAACTGAAAACAACCACGGCTCCACGAATCAGGATGTCTCCTTGTAGGCCTGCACACATGTACATGATGATGCATACAGACAGATACGAATCTCAAGCATGTCGGTGCAATCATAAACACACACACACACACAAGTTCACAAAGGCACCTTCTTTGCAGCAAGCTTGCAGTCAGCATCTGACTTACCCTTGTCCTTTGCACTTTTGTAGGCTCGGTGGTAGGCAACGGATTTCCTGCTCTTGGCCTCCTTAGCAAGTTGCTCCTTCGACTTGGCCACAGCTTTAGCTTTAGCCTTACCTCTGGGCTTGGCTTTTGAAGCATCGGCTGCCCCATTGTCCTTCGAAGCATTGGTCCTTCCTTTGGGTTCTGTTCCCTTCTTCGGGGAGGGCTTGGGCTCCTCGGCGTCCTCCTCATCCTCTGTTCCCGAAGCCTCATCGTCATCATTTTCATCATCCTTGGCATTCTTTCCCCTGCCCCGTCCACGGCCCCGGCCCCTTGTAGCCTGGCTGCAGGCACCAGTGCGACCACCACGGCCACCGCGGCCACCACCTCGGCACAATCCACGGCCGGACGGCCGCTTCAGTGCCGGCTTGCTGTCCTCCTCATCATCACTAACATCACTTCCCTCCTTGTCCTCATCCTCTGCCTCCCTGGGACACTTAGCTTTGGCTTTGGCTTTCCCCTTAGCTTTGCCTTTAGCCTTAGCCCCACTCATCCGAGACTGCTCGGCAGGAGAAAGGGATTTCACCTTGCTGTCGGTGGGGCAAGGTGGGCAGATTTCTGCTTCACTCGGGGCGATGACCAGGGACACCGCATCAGCTTCAGCTTCGGCGTCAGTCGGGCTGAGACCCTCCCCTTGGCTCGGAGAGCCCTTGCATTCCTTAAGGGCCGGCAAGCAATGTCATGTGCACGTGTACGGTCCACTACATACTTTCGGATCATTTGACATGCAGACTATATATACTTAAGATAAGGGGCATCCTCGTGATCAGGCTTGTAGTGCACGGTGGCGTGGCTCGGGACTGGGCTAGCATTGCCATTATCGTCAGAATCATCCTCAAGCTGGGTATCCTCAACCTGGCACAACCGCATCAGCCGTGGATGGCCCGAGCCAGCAACCTTTGCGCTCAGGTCTTCGGAGGGCTCGGGCTCCACGTCATCATCGAGGCCCACGGTTTCCCAGTCGTAGGGAATCGTATCGAAACAGTCAGGTCCTGGGCTGTTTGCATATAGGTCCGGCTTTATTGGTTGGGGCTTGCATTCGGATCTGCATGAATATTTCAGCTAAGACTCCGATAACTGAAGGCATGCAGGCACCACCAAGCAATGCACTCTTTGCGACTGATTCAGCATCCGGGGTTGCTTCTACACGGGCCCTTTTTGCTGTGCCTGCTGCTGGCAAAACCTCCTGAGTCAGCGCCCTTTTGGCCTCGCTTGCCTTGCCTGCTGCTGGCGAAACCTCCTGGATCAGAGCCCTGTTGGCCTCGTTTGCCTCGCTTGCTGCTGGCAAAATCTCCTGCATCAACTGAACCTGCTGGGGTCCTTCAACACGGGCCCGTTTTGCCACTGGTACATCTTGCCTGGAATCCTCAACCCTGGCTGCACGTGCTGCTTCCTCCAAACTCAAGATTTTTGCCTCCATGAGCTGTTGTTCCTCTAGAGCCACCTGCCTTTCAAGTTCTTCGATCTCAGATTGCAGCATAAGTGCCTCTAGCTCTCGTTGCTCCTGATCCAGCAAATCCTGGAGTAAACGACCCTCAGCCTCGAGCTCCTGAAGTTCCTGTAGCTCACCCGCAGCTTCAGCCTCTAAGGCTGCATCAGCAACTGAAGTATCACACTTCAAAGCCTTGAGAGCTCTTATGTCTGGACTGCAGGAATCACAATTCAGGCAGCGGTAGCCGTAGGTCCTGCACTTCACGAAATAATGCTCGCCCTTCCTCTTTGCTTCTGAACGGGGTGAATAAGGCAAACCTCAGAAGCACATGTATGATCCATAGCTCCCACATGATAGGGTTTAAGGGTTTAGGGTTTATAGGGGGTGCTGCCCTGAAGCCTTTCGGAGGCGGCGTCACGATCATGCTGGAGCCAGAGGACACAGAAGTGCCACGTGGAACCACACCTGCGGCCAGAATACATATGCATATGTATTGCATGCTATATGTGTAACATGCACGGCACACTATCACTGAACAGCCTGGTAGGCTCAGCTTTGCAAGGTTCCCCGCATCCAGAACCTAGGCTAGGCTGCCCAGGACATGAGTACTACCCCTTTAAATCCCGCACAAAAAGCTTTCAATCAAGACCCTCGGACCCCAAAAGCCCTTACACACAATTCCCGGGTGCATCCTAGTGGCTTCGGCTGTGGCTTTCCGGGGTAGATGGACTACGGGTTCAGGGCTTGCAGCATGGGAGTCTGCTGCGGCTAGGATTTCGGCATGCGGTGCAGCTTTGGAAGCATCTGGGATTTCGGCAATTGGCGCAGCTTCCGAATCTGCTGAAGCTAGGATTTCGGCACTTGGTGCAGCTTCCGAATCTGCTGAAGCTAGGGTTTCGGCATGCGGTGCAGCCGAAGCATCTGCTGAAGCTAGGATTTCGGCATGCGGTGCAGCTGAAGTGTCTGTTGAAGCTAGGATTTCGGCATGCGGTGCAGCTGCAGTATCTGCTGAAGCTAGGATTTCGGTATGCGGTGCAGCTGAAGCATCTGCTGAAGCTAGGATTTCGGTATCTCGTGCAGCTTCGGAGGCATTTGTTGGGGCTGGATTGGTGGGCTCCAAAACCTCATCCTCAATCTCTTCATCGTCTTCCCCCCCCTCCTCTGACTCACCACGTTCATCATCCCTGCTGGAGGAGGAATCAGAGGGCACGTCCTCTGGATCAGCCACGGACGAAGTGCCGCCTCGGGAAGTATAAGTTTAGGTTTCTACGGTCCAGGGATTTAGGGCCTAGGGCTTATAAGTATATAGCTTTAGGGTTTATTTGGTTTAGGGGTTTAGGGTTTAGGGTACATACATTTTTTGATGAAGGCCTCCGGTTACCCTGAAGTCGACTATATGCAATCCCATGATCGTTGCATCTAGGGGGCCTCGGTATACGAATAGTTCCAATTAATTCTGATTCTGGCTGGGTGCTTTGCGGAATAGGAATGCCTGCTTCGCTGAAAAGCCGCCGCACACCACGATCTCTTGGGGTGTGAGGGCGCTTCGCGCACTTAGCAAAGATGGTCACCATGTTCCGGATTAACCAAGCCTGTGCCTGTAGCTCGGGGCCTGCCAGACACTATGCACCCACATGTGCACGATCAAGACTACGTACGTAGAGTACATATTGCAACCTTCGGGCCTGAGGGAGCTTTCCGTGTGGCTGGCAGATTTGCAAAGTAGAACCTGGATAAGTACTCGCTGATCATGTTCACGGTGGGCCGAAGACCTGGGCATGCAATTGATATGTACTGTGCAAGTATGCATAGTGAACTGCAGGCCATTAAATTAAACCAAGACTCCAACATGACTGATCAAGGGAGCCAGGAGTTCCACATTATCCGAAAGGGCGGCTCGCCCCAGATGCGCATACTGCAGAATCACAAGCTTGTCCTTCAGAAGCTGACCCATAATGGTAGGACTAGCAGCCCATGCCTTCAGCACTGGACAAGAAGGCTCAGCCATCGCATCCGCACACATGCTTGCGAGCAGCTTAGCCTCAAAGTGTTTTTTATGTACGATCCCTCATTCGACCGACATGGACGTTATCATGCATGAACATTGCATGGAGCCTTGCCGCAGCGATTGCAAATCAAGACGTCTAAAGGCTCCAGCACGGTACAACATTGCAAGAGGCACTCCGGAAAGCTAAACAAGCCGGTATTGCCCCGAAGATCGTGATCTTGTGCACAAAACACTCTCCCCATGCTGACCTGCTTCGAACGCAGGTACTTTCCAGATGGCCTGCGCACAACACACAGCAGGGCCCCACCTCAAGGGCCGATCGTATGGAAGGGTGTACGGTTTCGATGCTGAAATGTTGAGTCGAGACGATCATATACAATCTCCAACCCCTAGAACCCTTAATTTTCAAGCTCCAACCCCTACAACCCTTAATTTTCAAGAAGAGGCCGCTTTTATAAGTTTATGGCCGGAACCAAATTTGTGGTACACTTCACCGAGATCCATGACAAACCCTCCCCGGACCGAAATAAGTGTTACAAAGGAAGGTCCAGGTAAGTTAGACTATAAGTAAGTCCGCGTATTATGGGGGCCATAATAATTAGAATAGGGTTTCGGGGTGTATTATACCATAACTATAATAAGGACCCCCCCCCAAAAAAAAAAAATATATATATATATAGTACAGGCAACTATCCAGGCCCCTATAATACACCCAAGCCCTGGGTAACTGTAGGTCTGAAGACAGGGTTCTTTTCCTTCTTTTCCTTCCCAAGACTCCGCGAGCTGTCTGCACCAGCAGCGTGCCTCTGTGGGGGGCAGAGATCAGGATTAGTTTAGTCTTTACCCATAGGCCCCCAAGTAGTTCCTTTTTATGGCTTATATTTAGAATCCCATAA